CGGACGAAACTATATATGGGAGCTATATCTAAATCAGGACCTATTTTCACGAAACTTGGCAGACATCATTCTAGACTCAATTCAGTACGTTATGCCAAAATTCGTGCAAATCGGAAGATATTTAGCGACTTTGGTGGACCATTTACATCAAATCGGACGAAACTATATATGGGAGCTATATCTAAATCTGGACCGATTTTCTCCAAACTTGGCAGACATCCCTCTAGGCTTAATTCAGTACGTTATGCCAAATTTCGTGCAAATGAGAAGATATATAGGGACTTTGGGCACTATTTACATGAAATCGGACGAAACTATATATGGGAGCTATATCTAAATCTGGACCGATTTTCACGAAACTTGGCAGACATCATTCTAGACCTAAATGATTAGGCTGTACCAAATTTCGTGCAAATCGAAAGATATATAGGGACTTTGGGGCACCATTTACATGAAATCGGACGAAACTATATATGGGAGCTATATCTAAATCTGGACCGATTTTCTCCAAACTTGGCATACATCACTCAAGGCTTAATTCAGCACGTTATACCAAATTTCGTGCAAATCAAAAGATATATAGGGACTTTGGGGCACCATTTACATGAAATCGGACGAAACTATATATGGGAGCTATATCTAAATCTGGACCGATTTTCACGAAACTTGGCAGACATCATTCTAGACCTAAATGATTAGGCTGTACCAAATTTCGTGCAAATCGAAAGATATATAGGGACCGTTTACATTAAATCGGTTAAATATATATATGGGAGCTTTATCTAAATCTGAACCGATTTTTCCCAATTTCAATAGGGTTCGTCCTTGGGCCGAATAAGTGACCTATGCCAAATTTCATCCAATTCGGATCATAAATGCGACCTGTACTTTGTTTACAATTTAACATGGACAGACGGACAGACGGACGGACGGACGGACGGACGGACGGACATGCATAAATCGACTCAGAAAGTGATTCTATGCATATTCTCAAAAGGAACCATGTGTCTATCTCGTTTCCTTTTGCCTGTTACAAACATATGCACAAAGACATAATACCCTGTACCACAGTGTGGTGAAGGGTATAAAAATGTATAATCCACATAATTTATAGTCATGAACCATTAAGCGGAGCAGTATTGTCGGACGGGGCCGACCATATGATACCCTACATAACTACCAGTGAGCTATAAGTTTCTGCGGATCTATATTCTGAACCGATATTAGCACTGTCTTGATGTTTTCAAATCAACATTACCCGGAGTAATAATTTTCTACATAATTTTAAAATTGTGTTATTTATACAAAGTAAGTTTTGGTTTAGTTGACCCGTTATTGAACGTTCACGATCGCCTTGCCCATAGAAAATTTGCGATGTTCGACATATAATTGTGGCGTCTAGAGGGACTAGAAAATCAAACAATAATAATGTTTTCGGCCCATTTCCTCATCTAAATATCATCTGATCACCACAAAAATCAGCGCCAATTTCAACTTCTAGTGAGGTGATAGTAATACTACATAAAATCATAACATATCCCACACCCGGCTGACTACAGCAATATAATTTGTATCAATGTAAAGGTCGACCACTACCCTTCAATGTGATAGTCAAATTATCTAATCTATGTACTTCTGGGGTAGACATATAAACCATAGATAGCAAATTTTACCATTTTCACACAAAAGTCTTAGTTCATTTGGCCGCTAAGTATTGACCCATCATTCTTCCTTGGTCAGATCCTTTTAGTTCTCATTGGGTGGCAAATATTCCTACCAAAAATTATCAATATTGGTTCAAATTGTAGGGTCAAATCTTATTCGGTATTTAGTGGATTTGGTCGAATTGAATAATTTAGTCCATTAGAAAACTAATTTATTATGTGTTGTTCGATTCTGACTGCTCTGTATCCAAATTCAATATGGCAGGCATTGACTATGGCAGGGATGTATTCCACAATATAACCAAGCTGGAACTGCATCGACAACATTTTATTTGATTACCAAAGAATGGGTAACGTCATCGTCTTTTAATGTAGTTGGTCCACTGGTGTGTCATGAAGAAACCAAAATATGCAGTTCCCAGGGCAGCATACTGACATAAGTGTATCTTCTTCTATTGCGTATTACTTACATTCGCACACTAAACTGGGGACACATGGTTTTGTGATTATCTGACCGGCCTATTGTATTATAGCAGATCAACAAGATCTTCTAGTCAGCGCCATCAGCAAAGTCTGCCGGCCAGCGATTTGAGGACCGTGTTCCTACTTGTCAGCCTATTGCAAATAGCAGTGGCAGTGGAACGATAAATCTAATAACCTGGGGCATGTCAGAATCTGTTATGCATCGACCATTATGTACTATGGAAGCTTCATTTCGGCCCTCATTTTTTTCATATGTAGACGATTTTTCCTCTTATATATGTCATCAATAACTAGTTCTGACGCTATGATCGTAAAATACCCGCATACATTATGATCGCAATGCCGCCCGATTTCTGAATTCCAATACTGCATGCCATACATATATTTGATCATCAAACTTTTTAAAAACGCCCGAAGGCTGGTCTTCTCTATGTCCTCTAACAGTTTGGCATGATTGGCAGTATTGATCATGAATGTTCAATTGCAATGATTCTATGAACTCTCTAATATGTGTGAAAATGACTGATGGTGCTGTGCTTTGTATTTTACGGAATCCTTGTTCGTGTATGAAAACTAGAAAATGCTTCTCATCGATGGCAGAAGTAGCGCCTCGGTAGTCTAAGCTACTGCCGACAGAAGTGAAATCGTCCTGTACCATTCACCTCTGCCGACATCCTTGTCAGGCTTCAGTAGCTATGGGTTGCTAACGACAAATTGAGGGTTGATGTTGAGTACTGCAGGTTCATCCCCTTGCTTAAGCATTACCATGGAAATTCTTTCCGGACATTTACCTTTGTATGAATGATTTGTTTTAATTTTGAAGGTAACTTCATAATGCCTCTCTCATAGAAGTCTCTGCAAAAAACTCTAGTAGTCGATTTTCCCAATCCTCCCTAGATACCAATTTTTTATTATTAAAGAAATTTTGCAATGCAAGAAAAATATGACAATTGTTTGGTTTTGACTGTATTGCGGATGCATTAAAACGAGCTCTCGAAGTTTCTAGCGAGTAGATTTGTGTGGCCTAGTGTTGTCCTGGTAGAACACGACACCTGTCCTGTTGGCCAATTCTGGCCGTTTCTGTTCAATTGCTATATTCAAACGGTCCAGTTGTTGACAGTAGAGATCAGAATGGAAATTCGATCCATCCTATTTTTTCTGTTAATTAGTTTGGCACTCAAACATCGAGCTTCTTTTTTAATCCAGCTTTGTGTAAATGGTTTAAAACACTTTAATAGTTGATTTTTAGCTCCTGACCATTGTTACGACTGCTAACATGCCGGTCAACTTCGATCATTTCTCCGATTTTATCAACATTTTCGACTACCGGCCTTTTTTCCTAACCTAATAAAACGTGCACCTTTTCTGATCTATCATATTAACATCGTTTTGTGTTACAGGCTCCCTTTCGTCCTTCCGGGGTCCAGAGCGCCCTCAATTAACTTATTCTCGTCACAATGTTGCACCTAAGGTTTATCTACTTTTTTGTTTGTACTTTAAGATAATGTTCTGTTACCCTTTGATCTTCAGGATCATTAGTAAATCCCGTGGCATCTGCTGGCAAGTTTGATCTTTATAGCAATAGTGACTGCTTTTCTAGAAATTCCTCTCAGTTACCTGAGGATGTAAGGAGATCGGCAGCCCTATGAAATGTTGACTGGAAACCAACGTAGGTGAAGTAGGATTGTCTACTTACGGAGACGATGATAGTAAGTGGGTCTGATCCGAAGGAATTGACGGATCACGAGATTAGTCCATTTATCGGACCGGACTACGTATGTTATGTCTTTGACGAGCTGTGACTATTTCTCTTTATTGTAGTGGGAGCATCTTCATCCACCGTGCAAAATGTGGAGCTATCAATTTGCTCGGTCAGCGCTTTACCCATCTGTCAAACTCCTTCACGGAATGCTTGGTTTCTGTATTGCAGCGACCATAATACATCTTAGACCCATAAACTCCACAATTTCACTGATATGGTTGCAGTGGTCTCAGTTAAATAACAAAAATGATACATTACCAAGGCGTAAGACAGCAAGATGTTGTGTTAAATGCCGTTGGGGAAACTGTAGGGGTGTATTTCAAAGACGACGATGACTGTGACACACTGGGAGACACGCAGTAGTCCTGTATCCGAGTTAACTTTGAACAACAATACATCAATTAAATATTACCGAGATGGATCTGTGGTAGATGTTGTTCTGACAGACGCAACATAACGAAGTTCTGAGGTTTTTTCTATCCCGCTATGAACCAAGAGTATTCTTCTGGTAGGAATTTACCATGGCGGGTACTAGGTATTTTGACGTCCCCATCATGGTTAAGGAAATAAATAGTTCGGCCCGGCCTTACTTAACAACGTTTTTACTTTACTTATTTAATTTATAAAGATAATATTGATTTACAACAGCTTCGAGAGGTTATTAAACTTAATAGTCAAAATTCGAGTAATGATGTCCCAGATAAGTTATTTTCGATTTGATCTACTATAACCAAATACTCTTGCATTAAAAGCAATCGAACCATAAAAGTGAGGTTCATATTTGTTATAAATATAACAAATTTAATAGTAGAATAAAATAAGTTAACATACAAAACCATTACCCAAAAAGTCAATGTGCTGCCAATGGTGACTACAGTCACATATCATAGTCAATAAAATCGAAGCTGTCACATTAAATATATTATTTATAACATACACACTGGCATTTTATATTTTCGTAAATGTTGTATATAAATATGTATAAATGTTTGTGTACTTACTTCTTGGGACCATCGGCACTGCCACTGCAACGACCTTGTACCAAAAACAATGAACCCCGATCGGCATTCAGCAATATTGAGACATTTTGCAGAATCTTATGGCATAAGCTGCGAACTTCCAATTCATTGCAGATGTCCTTTACCTACAAATGGGTGAAGTGGGTGTGAGGGCGAACATAACATCAGACATATCGTTGTTGCACGACAATGGCCAGCAAACAACATTACGAGAACAATTGTCGTTGGCCAAAGATATCAAATGACACCATTTGGCAAACATCAATGGACATTATCCACACAATCATGTGCAGAGATGTTGTTGTACATGTTGTTTTTGTTGTAGCATGTTTTCGAGGTTTCCAAGAGAATGAGATATAAAGAGTGCGAACATTATTTTGCACCATTGTTCGTTGTAAATAAAATGACAGCATCATCAGCATTGACATCGTCAGATATATACATGTGGGTGGGTGTGTGTGTGGGTACATGTAGGGTATTGTCCAGTTATTTGGTTGTAGTTTTAATGGAGAAACACCAAACGTCAATGACATCCATCGACATCCATGTATGTATGTACGTAGGAGATACGCCGCATATATACCAAGGAGTGTCAGAAATATCCAGAAAAATACATCCATTCCGTGCGAGAGAGGGAAATGCAAAGAAAAAGATAAAATAACAACAGTGATATTATTAACTGATACCATGGCAATATGTATGTGCGTGTGTGTATGTATTGTGTTGTAGTATACATTCATATAATTAATGTATTTTATAGACAATAATTACAGAATAATTGCTATTGTTCTTTTCTTCCTATAATACGACGCAGAGCATTAATTATGATAAACTGATGCAATGGTGCGTATGATTGATGTTAATTAAGTGATTTATTATGTTACGTATACGTCAGTGGTATTGGAGACCGAAGGGAAGGTCACATACGAACAAATAATGACAAAAGGATGTTAAAAACAGTAAGGAAAGTAGTAAAGTCGGATTTGACCGACTATATGATACCCTTTACACACTTTGGGTATATTCTACATATGTATCCTAAAAGATGTCGCCTTTTTGAATGAATTTTGGCTTGAAATTGAACGAAATTAAATATGTGATTTTTATCTATATCTAACCCGACTAACACCAATCCCTACACATGTCATTCTGTAACCTATGCTAAATTTTGCAAATCGATTTAAAGCAAACTTGACACAGGCTATTCGGTATGCTGCACTGTTTAAAATTTAATCTCAGTCAGACACCTTTTTTATTTGTGTCAATCGGCCTAGCTATGTATCTTTAGAGCAACATTAACTTCAAATCGGACGAAAATATATATAGGAGGTGTACACATCATTCTAGACTTAGTTTAGTACGCTATACCAAAATCCGTGCAAATCGAGAAATATATAGAGACTTTGGTGGACCAATTACGTTAAATAGGACGAAAATATATATGGGAGATATATCTAAATCTGGACCGATTTTCACGAAACTTAGCACACATCATTTTAGACTTAATTCAGTACGCTATGCCAAAATACGTACGATTTTCAGTGTCTTTGGGGCACTATGTACCTAAAATCGGACGAAAATATACTTGGGAGCTATATTTAAATCTGAACCGATTTCCAGAAAATTTAACACACATCTTTCTGGACCTAATTCAGTACGCTGTGCCAAATTTTGTACAAATCGAAAGATATATAGGGACTTTGGTACACCATTTACCTTAAATCGGACGAAAATATATATGGGAGCTATATCCAAATCTAAACCGATTTTCACGAAACTTTGCACACATCATTCTAGACCTAATTCATTACGCTTTACCAAATTTCGTCCAAATCGAAAGATATATGGGGACCATTTGCATTAAATCGGACAAAAATATATATGGGAGCTATATCTAAATCTGAACCGATTTTTCCCAATTTCAATAGGGTTCGTCCTTGGTCCAAATAAGTGACCTATGCCAAATTTCATCCAATTTGGATCATAAATGCGACCTGTACTTTGTTTACAATTTAACATCGACAGACAGACGGACGGACTTACATGCATAAATCGACTGAAAAGGTGATTCTATGTATATTCTCAAAATGAACCATGTGTCTATCTCGTTTCCTTTTGCTTGTTACAAACATATGCACAAAGACATAATACCCTGTACCACAGAGTGGTGAAGGGTATAAAAATCTACGTCTTGTTAGTCCTTCCAAAAAATTGCTAGTCCTTTAAAAAAAAAACTTTTTTTAAAAATTTACGCCATGCTAGTCCTTTCAAAAAATTGCTGGTCCTTCCAAAAAATTATTTTTAAAAATCTGCGCCTTGCTAGTCCCTCCAAAAAATTATTTTTAAAAATCTACGCCTTGCTAGTCCCTCCAAAAAATTATTTTTAAAAATCTACGCCTTGCTAGTCCCTCCAAAAAATTATTTTTAAAAATCTACGCCTTGCTAGTCCTTCCAAAAAATTATTTTTAAAAATCTACACCTTGCTAGTCCTTCCAAAAAATTATTTTTAAAAATCTACGCCTTGCTAGTCCTTCCAAAAAATTCTTTTTAAAAATCTACGCCTTGCTAGTCCTTCCAAAAAATTCTTTTTAAAAATCTACGCCTTGCTAGTCCTTCCAAAAAATTCTTTTTAAAAATCTACGCCTTGCTAATCCTTTCAAAAAATTCTTTTTAAAAATCTACGCCTTGCTAGTCCTTCCAAAAAATTATTTTTAAAAATCTACGCCTTGCTAGTCCTTCCAAAAAATTATTTTTTAAAAACTTGATAATCCTTTATACAATTATCCCCTCTTCCCTTAATTTTTTTCCATCTTATTAGACAATACCTTACCAGTTCAAATATTAACTCCTTCTCGTCCAACTGCTTCAGTTCATTGCGGGACAGCCGCTGCGGTCGATAATGATTATGATGGTGATGATGATGTCCCGTCTGCGGATAATAATGATTATTATGGCCAGAATTATTTTGGCCTACGCCACTGGAACATCCACCGCTACCAAGGCCATTGCCACCCGCCGAACCGCTGGTATTACCACCACCCGATGACAGTAAGCTGTTGTTACCCATACTGCCGTTACTGTTATTTGTACTCGTGCCAGATGTTGTGGCCATGGAACAATCATTTGTCGTCCCTATACTCAGGAAGGTGGGGGTGCCATCGATAGTATTGACGATAGGTTTTAACAAACCGCCACGTTCAAATTCATGTGCAGATATTTTTCTAAAAATAGAATAGAAAAAAAAAACAGAATAAGAAAAGTTGTTACAACAATGGACTAAAAAAAGGAAATTGAAAAAAGTATGTTTGGTGTAATAGAAAAAAATGATACGAATACTCAGATCAGAATTTTGGCATTGTATGCATGAAAATATGAAGGACAATGGTGTGGTGGTAAAATGTGACAGGATGCTTTTTATATTTAAAAAAAATATATATAAATTTTGAACCATATCCACTATAAGGATTTACAGCCCAAGATATTTTCAGATCCTTGAACTCATAGTCTTTATTATCAAGGGCGCTGTACCAAAACTTGGGCCGATATATAAATTTTTAATACCCAACATCCGTAGAGTTTTAGCAATCTATGGGTAAAATGTCAATGCTTTTTATAAATATTGCTCTACGGTGATTTCAACAGACAGGCTGACGAAAATGTCTCTTTCGACATGGTTGGGATTATAAAAGCAATAAATTCGGAAAGAGGTCTACATGGGCTCAATGTTTAGTCTGCTTGTATTTTAAATTAAATACTTTTTAATTCGGCTATTCTTTTTTTATTTTCCCCTTACTTAAAGGATATATTGTTTCACATTACTGTATTAAAAATATATCCCTACAAAAATCAGGATGTAAGAAAACAGAAAATCTTTTTTGTCACCAAAAAAAAAAAAAAAACAAAAATCTCTACATTTACTTTTTCTAAATACATTACAAACAAAAAGAAAACAAGAAAAAAATAATAGAATCTCAACAAAAAAATGTTTGGCATTAAAATGGATTTCATAGAAAGTAAAAATAAATTGCCATATCTTTGCTGAAAGGAAATAAAATGAGATGAAAAAAATAAAAAGGATTATACTGACCAGGGAGAAATAAAAACGAACCAACTTCAAATAAAGAAAATTTGTAACATCCTTACAAATAGAGTGTCATATTATGTGGCATTTGCTTTATGCTTTTATGTTTTGGTAGAAAATTGAGTTTTAAAAAAAAGGACAAAATAAATAAAAGAGCTTTGTACCCATTTATCAGATAACAATCGAGGATGTTTTAAAGAAATTTCACAGGAGTGGTTTTTGCAGAAAGAGATAATATTTCATTTTAAAATGAAAATTAATTTTCAAGGAATTTACTTCGGGGAAAAATGTAACAAGAAAAAGAAAAATAAATTGATTCAAGTAATAAATTGTGACTTCCAGGAAATTAATATTAAAAACTCTTAACAGTTTTTTGAGAAATATGTACATTGATAGAAAATAATATTTGTTTTAAACTGCACTCAGGTAGTCCTTCAAAAAATAAGTTTTAAAATAGTTGCACTCGGATAGTACTCAAAATTTGTATTTTAAAAAATACGCTTTGAAAGTAAAGACTACACGTTCATAGTTCCTAAAATTAAATTTCCAAAACATGGCTTCATACAAATCCACATTTTGATGATCTCTAAATATTATTTTTAAGAAATCAACGCTCAACTTTTATATTTTTAAATCTACGCTTTGATATTCAATAAACAAATATTTTCAAAAAATCTACGTTAACCATTTGGTGGTCTTTCGAAAAATATTTTTAAATATTTACGGATTTATGGAAAAATCGACAACTATCGAAATATCACACAAAAATTATTTTTTAAAAATCACCTCTTTGATGTTAATTAAAAATATATTATAAAACCAGTGAGCGGAGCAGTATAATCAGACGGGGCCGACCATATGATACCCTACACAACTTCCACGAAAATTTAACTTTCTGTGGTTATATATTCTAAGCATGGAAAATATTTCCCTATATTTGCACCCTCTTGATAGACTAGAGGTCAACAAACATTACTAATATTCAGTACAACCCTTCTAATTAGTTGTCCAGATTCCCTTCACCGTGGGTTGTGTTATGATGTTCGGCTTTCAATTGTGTCCACCTCATCCCAATATTATTATCTGATTATCATCGAAAATTATAGGCGTTGTCCTTGACCATACCTGGATCCTCATGGAAAATTTCAGAGCGATCCACGCTATATTTCCGCCCTCCCGTATGTTAATGGGTTACTAAATAATATCTGAGTTCGCAAGCACCTGTAACGACAATATTATTGGTATCAATGTAAAGGTCAACCACTCCTCTTGGATATATTATCAACTTCTCGGGTCTATGTCCTTCAGGACTAAATATATACGCCATACAATACAAATTTTGTCATTTTCACACAAAAGTCAGGGCCCATTCGATCCGCTAAATATTGACCGAACTTTATCAAAAAAGGCATGCTTATTCTTGGGCCCGATCCCCTTCTCCATGTAAAAATTCGCGATGTTCGGGCCATAATTACGGCCTCCAGAGCGGCCAGAAAATCAGACAAAAATTAAGTTTTTGGTCCATTTCATCCCCTAAATATTAAGCGATATTTACCAAAAACAATAGGGGCCTTCATTGGGCAGAATCCATCATACATGCAAAATTTCGTAAAGATTGGTCCATAACTGTGGCCTGTATCGTGTTTACAAATTATAATGGACAGACGGACGGACGGACACACATGTCTAGATCGACTTAGCTAGTCGAGATATGACGATCGGAATACTTAAAGGTGGGTATAGGACCAATATTTCGCGGCGTTACAAACTTTTGGGCCTACACAAAGATATAATACCCTGACAACATAGTTGTGTAGGGTATAAAAATCACCTCTTTGATGGTAATTAAATATATATTATAAAAATATAACCTTCCAAAAAATTGTTTTTAAACCAGTAAGGAAAGTTCAAAAGTCGGACGGGACCGATTATATGATACCCTTTACCACTTTGGGTACATAAAGGAATGCTTATATGTACAATAACCCCTAGATAGAAAATATCATCTTTGGGGGGCCATTGAAATGGAATCGGACGAAATTAACTGTGTGAAGTATATAGATATTTGAACTATATTGAAACAAACCATAGATACACCATTCTAAAAATTTATGAACAATTGAATGTCAATATTTGTATGAAATCGAGCAAAATATGTATGGACGTATTTGAGCGTATACTGCAGCACAATCTTTACACAGAATACAATACACGTTATTCTAGGTTCCATTTGGTAAATTGAGCACTATATCGTCCTAATCGGACTTCAGTTGTTTGATACAACATTAGGTAAAATCGCATGAAAATATATATGAAAACCTGAAACGAAGAAGTAACTTCAATACGCTTTGCAACATTTTGTCTCAATCGGACAAACATTCAATCAGGATCTTATTCCATACTCTGTGGAAAATTATGTCTCATAAAATCGGACGAAACTATATATGGGAGCTATATCTAAATCTGAACCAATTTCAACAAAACTCCTCGGACGTCAACCTGTAGTAAATTCAACACGCTACGCAACTATATATGGGAACTATATCCAAATCTGAACCGATTCCACTTCGCGTACATCAATCAGGACCTAATTCAGTAATCTGTGTAATCGGACCAATATTGTCTCAATCGGAGTTTGATTCACCATTTACATAAAATCGAAGGAAACTATATATGGGAGCTATATCTAAATCTGGACCAATTTTCTCCAATTTCTATTGGTTCAAATAAGTGATCTGTGCCAAATTTCATCCAAATCGGATCACAAATGCATAAATCGACTTAGAAAATTATTATATCCATATTTTCAAAAAGGAACCGTGGGTCTATCTCGATTTTTTTTGCCTGTTACAAAGATATGTACCACAGTGTGATAAAGGGTATAAAAATCGACGTTTTAAAAATCTTTCAAACAAAAAAAATATTTTTTTTTTTAAATCTACGCTTTTCAAAAAAATATTTTTGTGGGGATGGTACTTGAAGTAGTGGAACGATATTACCCATCTAAAAACTTGATCAAAGTCACTTCGTAATGTTAAAATGGAGTCAAATCGGTTGTAGAATGCGCTTATGACCATAAAAATATCGATTAAATGGATGCCCTTTATATGCGAGCTTATCCCAAAGTTCGACCCAAATTATTAATTTTGGCAATTTCTTTAGAGAAACATGTCCGTAGTCCTCCAAATAACGAAAATTATTTGTATCATTATATGGGGAATGTTCGCGATCATATACCGATACTAAAAAACTTTAAGTTTTATTACGAAATATGACAACCAAAAATTTACAATTACAGCAAATTTGATTGAAAAAGGTGTTTTAAATGCCAATAATACCGAATAGTTAGAGATACCGTTATATGGGCGTTAACCCCGAAACTTTAGCCAATAATTAAACAAAATTTGGAATATATCTTTGTAGGCCACTTAATTATTTTCCACATAATTAGAAATATTAAATTTTAGTCAGTTCGGTTGACAACGTGCCCAAAATCCTCAAAATACTGAATAATGGGGAAACCGTCGTATCGGCGCAGCTCCGAATCGTAGGGCAATATTGAGCAATAGCCGTTGTTTCTAGGCTATCATAATCCAGTATATAAATATTATCTACACATTGATTGTTCTTTTAAAATATTTTTTAAATCTTCGTTCAAATGGTATTCTAAATTCATTTTTTGAAAAGTTTCTATCATTCCCAAACTTCTTAATTTTTTTCAAATTCACCAAAATTGAATTCAAGAAAGTTAGTTCCACATTGTAACCTAATCATTGTACATCATTATCAGGAATACATGGAATCCTAGAAAATTTTCCAAATTTATCACAGAGCAAACAATAGCATTGAAGGAATCATATCATAGCAAGCCAATCATCATAATACCCATTCACTTGCATTTTAAAATAGTTCCAAAGAACCAGAACGTAAAGAAAAAACATAAATTTAATTTAGAACAAAGCAAGCACACAAAATTCCAAAAAACCCACAAAGAAACCGAAGAAACAATCAATCCCACAAATAAGAAAGAATACACAATTGAGCCATCATCATTAGCATTGGTTAGTAGTGGCAGCAGGAACATCATCACCATTGAGCATAAATGATGTTGTAACAACTAGTTGAGGATTTTACCCCTTC